GAAACTAGTCATAGGATTGCTTTTGCCCCATGAGAACTTTTGTTCAGGAATGCGAGAAAAATACCATACTGAATTATTAGGAAAATCGACTGGGACCCATTTTCTGTATGCTTTGTGTGGGGTCCTTTCATAGATGCGAAATTTGATATTATATTTTCATCAATATTAGGTGAAACTCGGTATACTGCGGTATTATGGGAAACATAATATTTAACGGATAATTTTGCACTTGAATTTGAATTCACATTAAGTATTCTACGAGGAATCTTATATTTGCAAAGAAAAAACATGTCTTTGTGTTAGGGTTAACAGCATATATTTTTAGGAATCAGTAGATCTGTTTATCTAATTCACACAATATAATAAGAGATGGAATTTTCCACTGGAATAAAATTCTGAATCTTGAAAAAACCATATTTTTATAGTGTTTACACATGCTTCCATAATTTTATTGTTTAACAAGGTAAACGTAGCTACGTCACAATACTTTCTCGTACCATTCAAAAGCCCGCAGGAGATCAAGACGAGAGATGTTTATATCATACATTATGTTTTATTTCTAAACCTCTAATATTTTTATTTATGTAATTTTACGAGAGGTTGATTCTGATTAGAATATTTTATGCTTTGTATATCCTTGATAACCGCCATCGCTTTGTTCGATGAGGTATTATTAGAAACGGATTTGGTCTAGCGGATCAATAAGTGAATGTTAATTGATAAAAAATATGTGCAGTTAATGGCAGAAGATTTATAGCGGAAGTTAGCAACTTGAGCCTGCCTCTCGACGCATATACCGCTATTTTCCAGGCGGAAATCTATGCGATTCTGGCTACGTATCATTCTGGATGGAGAAGTGCCTAGGAAAGGAATAACAATCTTCTCCGACAGGTGCCTGCAAGATTACTTTAAGGTACTACGATTCAGAGAGGCTCTGAATAGCTTAGCAGCAAGGCATCCGCTATCGTTAGTGTGAGACAGAGGGTAATTATACCTATGGTTGTTGATGGGACTGTTGACATGTGATAGGGGTGGCTGAGGATCACATGTGTGAGCGAGGCTCCGAGCTACTACTGGCAGACTGTTTAAAACATTAGATCCGCAGAATGTTAAGGAGCTGGGACTCAGGGCTATACTCAACTTCGCTAGAAGGGCGATGCTTGACATTTAGGGAATGTCATGGTGCATAAGGGCCCGTTTTGTGGCCTATGCGCCGGCTCCTCGTGGTGGCCAACATGCCTCTAATTTCGTTCATTCATTCATAGAGCAATTTGAATCGCAAGATGCGTTTGAATGAACACATCCTAAGCAATACTAGTTGGTGTTTAAAATACGAGGATTGAGTCTCTATTCTCTGCCACTAGCCCCTTTAAAGATGTTATTTTTATACCGAAACAGTCGCGTAGGCAGAAGCCTAAATACCGGGCCGCAACGGCTGCTCCTTATAGCAGCTTAATGTAATTTTTTAACTGCCCAAGGTTAGTGGAACTGGAAAAAGTCTCCTCAGGCAGATTGCTCCACAATCTCGACGCCATCAAGGAGCGATCGTACCGGCCAGCTCTGGATGTACGAAGTTTGACACGGATGGGATGGGAAGCTACTGTCAGGCGGGTTCGTCTCGCAGGCTAGTCAGCGGCGGCATCATAGAGGACAGTTCTGAGGATCAAAGCCCATTGACATAGTGGTAACAGAGCCAGATCACCAAAGGCCCGTCGATGCGAAAGGGTTCCGAGACTTTCTGCTGGAGGAGAGTAATCGATCGTTCGGACAGCCCTGATCTGAACAATATCGAGCATGGCTAATGTAGTCGGAGCGACAGCACCCCAAACATGAGAGCAGGGTGAGGAAGATAAGTGGAGAAAAGTACTTCTTAGCCCTAAACAAATAACCTAGCATTTTCCCAGCAGCGGCCCCAATTAATGAGAAGTATTCGTGCCAAATGAAGTCCTCGGGGTTCTAGACTCCGACCAGCGGAAATAAACAGCTCTTTGGTAGAACGCGGTTTATTTGACGAATGTTGTTGACAATAAAATCGGTGAACTTAGAAGGCCTTATTAACACAATATCATGTTTATCTCTATTGGACAGTCTCGGGACCCTTTCGCAACGACAGGCTTTGCTTGTGGAACAGTCTGCCTGAGGAGCTTTTCCCCGTTCTGCTAACCTTAGGCGATTTGAAAATCGGATTAAAAAAGGTTCTTTAAGTTCCTTATAACAGTCGCGGTGCCCCAGTATTTCACTTCCAGCCTCTGTGACTGCATAAGTATAAAAAAGTGGAATAAGTTAACCAATGCTTGCAAATAGCGAATTGAAATAGGCATTAGAAAAGCCCCATAAAGGGGTCGAAGATCGGCACGGGTATTATGTAAAAAAACTGTAAAACGTAAAAAAAGTATAAAACGTCATCTTACAGACCAGGTAGTTTTTAGGGTGCGAACAGTCTACGTTTGCTCACTAGGATAGTTGTGAGCGTCCACCTATGGAGGAATAGCTCAACTACACGCATTGTTGGTTGCATATGTTTTGTGAAGCCGAGTAGTCATAATTTTCATCTCGGGGAAGTTGGTTGAGTAGCAAGATCGCATCTGGATGATTTTGTGTATTGGTCTGCATGTCTATACAATCAGTGTTATTTGCTATGCGAGAAACTCATTATTGAATATGCTGCCAATGAAGTATATCTATTAGACGTTCCCGATGGGTTCTTTATATATTGTCCTTTAAGAAGACAGGTTATGTTCAAAGTTATAAATTACGATTTTTTTATATTTCTTGTGTTTTCAAAAAATTTGAGTATAATTACTCGAAATCACCACCCTGCCCGCGTTGTGTGTAGTTACTGTTAGCATGTATACGACCTGTAATTTGACAGTGTACGGTGAATATAATTATTTCGTATCTCTCTCATTTTTGAAATTCAGCAAATTTGCATATAGCTTTGAATCTCAATTAAGTGTATTTGAGACAAGAATCCAGTATAAGGTTGACTATCTTCAGGAGGACGAAGCATAGGGATCAACCCTTTTCAAAGGAGTACATTGTTTCGCTAGCATATTGATTAGACGTGAACGGTAAAAATTGGCTTATAGAGAAATGAACGTGGATCTGAGTATTGGAACGACCAAACCTTGTCCTGGCTCCTTGTCAACTGCGAGTACATCATAAAAATCGCACTCGCTGAAACTAAATTATAAAATAACACACCAGTCTCTGTTTTATCGAGAACTGCATAAATATAATATTCATTTTGTCTCGCATTGCAAAATCACGTATGACATAATTATATTAACATTCCTATCTCTCTCATAACCGCTATCAATTCAGATAAACTATCGTGCATTGTGCATAGTGCATATTTTTCTTTTGATAAAGCTAAAACATCGACAAACGATTTCATCTTGATAATACTTCGCCATTTCACCATATCAACTTTAATGTTTTAGAAAATTGAAGCGGAAAAATATGTAAGATAAGCTTACATTTCTGTTCATAAAGTAAGACATTAAAATATTTGATCTCTGTGCATTTATTCACAGTTTCACCATTCCAGCTTTCATGTTTCAGAAAATTTGTAGCGAAAAAACATGCGAGCATTGGAGCGAATTATTATAGAAAAAAAATTGACTGGTTGCCAAAGTATGCGATCGCTTTAAATAATGTTGTTTTATTCCCTGTAAACTTTTTGCAGCGGTTTACATGCCGCGTACGAGGGACGGTATACAAATAATCCTTTGTGCGCCTGCGATTTTGGGATGGATAATACAAAGTGGTCCGAAAGGGAAGCATGAAAAAATATTCCTAGATTAAGCTTGTCAAAATAATGCATTCTGGCCTAAAAAAAGTTTTTTGATTTTTTTGTGTGAAAAAGGCAATGAAATATTTCATCGCACGCTAAAGCACCATTTTTCAAAACAATTGTCATTCTCTTTTATATAACTTTAAAATTTTGAAGAGAATTACGTATGGGAATTTCGATGATTTAAATTAATCATATATTAACCAATGATTACCTTTTTTGTAGAAAATTGAAAGTTTGAATCCAAATATTTGCCAACCACGTAAAAATCAATATTTTTTAAAATCTCGTACCGATGTTTTTAGCTATAATATTAATAATAGCATTTATTTTACTCCTAAAACACAATATAAAGAATGATTAAATAAATATGAAACAAGGGTCCATAGGAGGCATTGCCGGCCATGGAGCATTATTGTTGCAATTTTGCATTTTATTGAAATATGAATAAAATAAATAAAGGTATGATAGTTTTGTTATAGATTTATTTGGACTAGGTACAACTGTTCCTCTTAGTTTATGCCTTATTTTTTACTTTTTTATTTATTAAATTACAAAAAACTCCCTTTAGGCAGTTACAGTGATCTTACTCCATATAGTATCTGTATCATTATTTTCGGAAGCTCATTAGCCCAGGGAGTATCTTCGGATTCGTTCAGAAAAATATTCTACAGATATTTGTATGTATTTTGTATGATATTCAAAACGAACCTGCATGTTTACAGGCCCAAAATTATTTCAAAAATTTTTTAAACATATTCTAACACAAATTGTTTTTTTTTTCGATCCAGAATTGATATTCATGTTTGAGTTATTCTGAACAAAAAATATCCTGGTGAATTTTTCTCTAAATTTGATATTTTTCGAGATATAAGCGATTGATTATTCTAAAGTGCAAAATATACCTTTCTCGATCCCTAAACACAATATGCAAAAACGGAATTATTGATCTTGCCAAAGTTCCTAAATATTCTTCAAACACCCATTAACAAAATCCAAAACCGTTTTAGCGGGTAATATTGTAAACATCTATTTTTTAATTATTCTTAATCAAGGGCGCGCCCAATGTATATTATGCGTGAACACGAGAGGGATGCAGCTGGCCTTAGCCTTTATTCAGCATCTGTTTGAGCTTAAACATTTCTCTATCTAACTTTATTGTAACCCTATACCATAATTAACTGTTGATGTTGTTACTTTTCAGACCTCTGGGAGACCAGACGAAGTGATAGCAGCCGAAACGTTGGAGAACTACAAACGGTGCAACAACTCCTTCATCCAAGGCGTCTTTCAGGCCCAGTATCGATCGTCGTTGAGTTGCTCGCGATGCCGGACCCAATCCAACACGTTCGATCCCTTTCAGTGCATATCTGTACAGCTGCCTCAGTTCCACAAGCATTCTATCTACGTTACAGTGAGTGAATTATTGGTCATATCTGTGTACTTTCAGTATCCAGATAATACAAACCCATATACTTTTTGGAAGTATCAATGACAGCACCATCTGAAGAAAGCGATCCTAGCTAAGCCTTCATAAGTGCTAACTTCTTTTAGGAATTGTTCAACCTCACTTACGCTCTCTGTTGTCAGCACGATGTTTTATCTACCACCTTTTCATACTCTCATTGCTTCCAATTCTGAATTTTTAGAAATGTTTTGCCTTTATACCGAAGTCTCTAAAATAAGGGAAATGTTTCATTAGCCATTGGTTTTTACTATCTGAAAAAATGGGTGCTCAAAATTAAAAAGATATTGTTATTGGTATCCTACAAATAATAATAATGATAAATCGTCTTTATTAGGGCCATAATGCTACCCTGCCACTTAACCAAAAAAAAAAAAAAAACTGAAACAATAGAAAAACATAAAAACATTTGATAATTTACAAGTAAGTTGAAAATATAGGTATATACAAATTTTATGTAGATAAAATAGAAGTAAGTGAAGGATACCATGTATTTTAGTGAGGTTAGGTGACTTGATTTTTATGACTTCCAGGTACTGTACACCTGCCAACAACCTCGCCAAGTCCGTATCGGCGTGACCGTTGCATCCGGCGCTATCGTCGGCGAATTACGCTCCGTCCTCGCATCGGACACTTCCATCGCTCTTAGTGACATGCTCCTGCTCGAGGTGGGTTCCAGCGGGTTCCAGCGCACGTTGGCAGACGCCCAGCCTGCCGCCGCCATAGCCGAAGATGACCCGGTATATTGCGTAGAGGCTGCCAGGTTGGACGCTGGAGCGCCGACTACCGGAGAATATGTACTGTTGGTGTGGGTGAATGTGGAAAAGGTTGAGGACGAAGATAGTGAGGAGGAATGGAGGCGGTTCGGTAAGTTTGTCAATAGAAATAGGTGAAACATTTCTGTCATGTTCTTACGGGACAAAAAGACTGTGTGGCATGCTCTCGGTGTCTTTTTCGCTACTTTTGTCTTGAGTGGGGGTGGAAAATGGACCAGCAGCGGTCGTGGAGGAGCTTCTGATTGATAGTTGTGTTCTTTTGAGTTTAGATTTTAGTGGTATGTTATTGATAAAGTTGACAGTCACGTGGACGGATAAGAAATAAAAGAAAAGGATTTGTTGGGTTATTTAGTGGACACTTGCATGAAGAAATTTGAGAAGATACAATATGGCAGACACTGAACTAAATAGTGAAGAGCCTGAATATTTTGCAGCTAATGACTGAAGTTCAGTTCGACTTCCTCCTGAAAAGAGTCACCACACATTTCAAACACAGATTACGATCTGCCACTCTTTCGACTGGCCTGTCCACGCCTAATAATTAAACGTGTTTGATACCAAACGTGAGCGGTCATGGACTTGCCTCTCAGGCGATGACGTCACAGGCAAACTCACGGCAAACGGAGATAAGAGGGATGTCTTTTAAGTTTTGCATTTAGAAACATAGTAGGCCGCGCGGATCGAACTTAGTACTGAATCTTAACCTCACTGTTTAGTAAACTTAAATACAAAGTTTCACAACAATACGTGCAGTGTTCTCACTACAGTGAATTTTTAAATGTCACCAAATCATTAGAAAAATGGAACTCAACAGAGAACATTTTCGCGCCATAATTTATTACAACTTTCAGAGACAATTATCGCAACAAGAATGCCTTGCTGAGTTACTGTCTGTTTTCGGCAACGAAGCGCCACATCAGTCGACAATTTCACGTTGGTATGGAGAATTCAAACGTGGACGGGTGAGTCTTAGCGGCGATTCCAGGGTGGGTGCACCAAAAACGTCGATGCTGTGCGCAAACTCATCATTGAAGATAGACATGTGACATATCGCGAGATTGAGGCGTCCTTGCAGATCTCAAAGACCTCAATTCAAAAAATTTTACATGAAGAATTAGGAGTAAGAAAATTAGTTTCTCGTTGGATACCCTACCTGTTGACTGAAGAGCAGAAAGCAGCCAGGGTTAATTGGTGTCAAAAAACGCTTGACCGTTTCAATTCCGGAAACTCAAAAAATGTGTACAGCATTGTTAGTAGTGATGAATCGTGGATTTACTGTTACGAACCAGAAAATAAACGACTGTCGGCTGTTTGGGTGTTCCAAGGTGAAGAAAAGCCAACATAAGGCATCCGTTCTCGAAGTGTTTCGAAAAGGATGGTCGCGACATTTGTGTCAAAAGCTGGTCATATTGCAGCAATTCCTCTTAATCAGCAAAGAAATGTTACTGCGGATTGGTATACCACCATTTGTTTGCCAACAGTCATCGCCGAGCTGCGAAAAATCAACCCCGAAAGAAGAATCATCCTCCACCAAGACAGTGCAAGCTCGGACACAGCCCAAAAAACAAGGCAGTATTTAACGGAAGAAAACGTGGAACTATTGGACCATCCTCCATATAGTCCCGATCTAAGTCCTAACGATTTCTTTTCTTTCCCGAAAATTAAAAACAGACTGCGTGGACAAAGGTTCCAGTCACCAGAAGAAACAGTTGACGCATTCAAAAGTGCCGTTTTGGATCTGCCAGCAAACGAGTGGAATAAGTGCTTCGAAAATTGGTTCGATGTGCATTAATCTTAATGGAGAATATTTCGAAAAACAATAAAGTCGTTTAAAACTACCTACCGCGTTGTTTTATTTCCATTTGCAAAACTTAAAAGAGATCGCTCGTAATTCCACGAAGACGAGAATCACGCCAGTGTACCACGCTCCTAGAGAACCCAGCTTTATGGTAGATCAAATCCTAATTGAGACAGCAAAAAATGGCAGTGCCTTCAAAAAGTGTTTTTAGATATGTCGTGTAATACATCGAGTGTTCAAGCGCTATGAGCCACCGAAATACTCGATAGTTTGACGTGATTAGTACAGTCATCGTTGCGATGCGGTTGGAATGCTGATCAGAAGTTGTTATTTTCTGCCTTATTTAAAACTAAAAATACGCTTTGACTCATTTTTTCTCTTTACAATTGTAATATTATTGACATTGTTAACGTATGGTTCGTTACAGGAAGTCCTTATACAATGCAAGTCTCACGAGAAACATCATATGATGATCTGCAAAAACTGATCCTGAAAGAGATGGCTCCAATTCTGCACGATGACATCTTAACCTCGTCTCAACCACGTGGCGTGAGTGTTTTTATATACAATTTAGAAAACTAATATATTTTCACAGTGACCCTTTTTTGTAGTGTAAAATGGCAAATTTTTAGTATACCTATTTTCGCTTGTTTGCCTGCCTGTTGTGTGTCTCCAATGACTAGACCTACTATACTGGTTGCTAAAAAGTATGAAGTGTTGTCACAGAGATGGAAATCGAACAGAGCGAGTAGTGCGGTTCGTCGTATGGATGCTGGATATACTAAAAAATGAACGATATGCACGTTATTTCTCATTCCAGATCTTCAGCATGCGCGTATGGGACCCAGCGGCCGCCCCCGACGACCCGCCTCTCTACCTGGACCCCGATCTGCAACACCCTTTATATACGGAGGCGGTTGAACAGGCGTTGGCGCTGTGCGGTGGTGAAGGGGATGGCAGCAGTGGCGGAGGTGGTCCCGCTCATATCAAATTGACCTTGGAATGGCGAGCGGACGCCAAGGCGAGCGTCGTTGCTGATGATCAAGATGCGGTGGAGGAGCATGCTAGCGTCAGGGCGCTCAGGCAGCAAGCCGCTCAGGGTGAGTGACTTTACTGAGCTTGAAGTATAATATGAAGGGTATTTTTTTCATTGGCCTTGTGGTGTAATATATAAGGTTTTCAAGACTAGATCGGGAATTTGCAGTAGATATAAATAAAGGTTAAGGATCGGAAATTTTCAGTAGTTATAAATTCAGAATAAGGCTTCCCAGTACCCAGCGCGACCTTGAGAATAGTATGGAAATGTGCATTACCGAATCCGTCAATAGGCGTGTCTATAGCTCCCTATCTTCTGCTTCTTTTACCTTAATAGCACAAATACGGTCCAAAGGCGTTCTCGGAACGACCCGTGCAACCTGGGAGACGTTTCCGGTATTCCGCCCAAAATCGCAATATGTTCCAGGGAAGTCCCTGGAACCAAAAAAATCGGTTCCAGGGAGATCGTCGCTTGACATTCCAGGGGGTAATGAAATGGTACTGCCAGAGCTGTATGCCTGTGAGGGGGGGAGAGAGAATAAGAATGTAAAATCTTAATAAAAATAGTCATTTTGGAGTCATATTTTTAGAATATTTTATTGTTCCCATTACATGCAGCAATTTTAAGGCAATATTTACGAAACCAAAGTATGTGTCGCAACTTCGCGCCGCGTAACTAAACTTCTGAATACCTGCAAGCTGATAAAGAAAATTAACTATAACACGTAAAAATTCTACAGAATACATTGTAGTACCAAAAAAATAATCTGAACTTGATTCATGTAGACTTTGATTATGGCTGCTGCTCATACGTTTAAAATGCAAGCCTAGCTTGTTTTATAATCTTTTTCTCGAACACAATTTCTATTTTTTTGTCACATGTTATAGCAGATAAAACCAAGCTATAGCACTAATAGAAGCATCTGATAATGACAAGCTTCATGCATTAAAAATCGACAGGAAAGAAAAGAACCGATAAGCAAAATGTTTACGTTGGATTAGATAGAAGAACAAGCCAAAAAGTTGGAAGATCAGAAAAAAAAATGGCAGACACGACACAGGGCACCTCCCATTACACGTTCTGCGTATTCTCTGGAGCATCTGCGAATTGTATATTTAGACGTACGAGGGCGGTCCGATAAGTACTTAGTCTCACCGCCCGATGACGCCACTATCGCAAGAGAAATTTACTATCGTGTCTCATAGACGGCTACTGTCAAAATTTCTTAGTTTCGTTTTGAGCGCATGTGGAAGGGGGCATATCCGCGGATTTGAGAAAAATGGAAAACGAGCAATATCGATCGATTCGATTCTTGTTTTTAGACGGGGAATCGCGCAGAGAAATCAAAGATCGCTTAGATGCTGTGTACGATGACTCTTCTTCTTCTATGACGACCGTTAAAAATTGGTTTATCGAGTTTCAACGAGGTCGCAGGTCGGTTTTTGATGCGCCACGCCCAAGTGCCCCGAAACCGGCTTCCACGGAGGATAACAGACAAAAATCCACGATCTCGTATTGGAGAACGCCGTTTGAAGGTGCGCGAGATAGCTGTGACAGTAGGCATCTCAAAAGACCGCGTGGGTCATATGCTGAATGACAAAAGTTCCGGGGAACAAGCTCAACAGAGTCCTTCAGAACAGTGTTTGACGCTGTTTAAGTGCAATCTGAAGGAGTTTCTATGTCGTTCAGTCACCGTCGACGAAACTTGGATTTACTGGTACACACCAGAGACCAAGAAACAGTCAAAACAGTGGACTTCACCCGGCGAAAGTGCTCCGAAGAAGGCGAAGACTGTCCTATCGGCCGGAAAGGTGATGGCCACCGTACTTTGGGATTCACAAGGTGTGATCTACATCGACTACCTGTGGAAGGGCGAATTGGTCGAATTAGGCTATGAACTGCTGCCCGATCCGCCGTATTCTCCAGATTTGACCCTGTATGACTGCTTTTTGTTTCCAAACTCACTCGAATGAGGAGGTTATCGCCACTATGGAGGCCTACTTTACAGACCTCCAGAAAACGTATTTTTCAGACGGATTGAAGAAGATAAAGCATCGCTGGGTCAAGTGTATCAAGCCAAAAAAGTAGACTATGTTGAGAAATAAATCGTCACTTTTCCAAAATTTTCGTTTTTCATTTGTAGGGTAAGCATTTATCGGCCCGCCCTCGTATTTAGCCTAGTTGCCAAATTAAGAATTGGAATTTTCTTGCTAGACGAAATCCAAATTATACTAATTGGTCATTATGAAAAATTACCTTTGAAAAATGACCGTGCGTGGTTTAAACTTAAGCTCTATTGAACCTATGATCAAAAAGACATACATATACATACGTTTTAAAAATGTTTCATAACAAAAAAATGTTGAATGATGCTTCTATAATAATTAACAAAGAGAAATAGAGAATAAAGAAATTTATTTCCTTTTTGATAATAGGAGTTACGGAGCTTTTACAGTCTCCCTTTTCTCTGTCCTCAGAGGCGACAAACAATAATTACATGAGAGGCTGTCCTAAGATTTCGCATTCTCAGAATTTAAAGAGTCGTGAAGTTCATTGGGAACAAATTTCCTAAAGAAAATGATTTGCCGTGGATCTTAGCGTCAAATTTGGATTCAGATTGTATGCACCTAGAGATCCAGTTTACATTCAAATCACTGACATGCACATAATTTTGAAATATCTTCTCGTAATACTTCTTATAATAATTGCATTTTGTTTCGCAAAATTTCCATTTCTAATTCCCGTGCTATAAGTTTTGTCTACTCAGGTAACGTGTTGAGCTGAATCTGAATATGACCATCAAAAAACCTAAGGTAACCTAAGCCTCGTTTGAGTTTCGACGGACTCGCGTAATTTGATGTAAAACTTCATTAAAGCATTGTGCAAATCAATAATATAGATCTTTATATATTATTTCATAATGTAGGTGGTGCTCCATTAACCTTGGAGGAGTGCCTGAGAGACTATACAGAAGCTGAAACCTTAACTGACGCCTGGAGGTGTCCTCATTGTCAACAGTACCAACCTGTTGTGAAAACGTTGGATATGTGGTCGTTACCCGAGATTCTCATAGTGCATTTCAAAAGATTTAGGCAGTAAGTATAACATTGGAAACAAAATTTAGTTTGTTTTCAGATTTTAAGATATACTTTAGTACTTAGCCATTCAGAATTTTACTTCTCGATTCTGAAATCCTACGTACATTCTATGTATATCTTGGAAACAGCATTGTGTGAAGAGTACCAGCAGTATTCAAGTCCATGCTTGTTTTGTTTCGGAAGATTTTTAATAAAATTGAAGGTCGGTGAGATATTTTATATCAAATCGTGCATTTTGGACGACATGGTTCACTGATTACGTTAATTAAATATGTTTTGTCTTTGTTTTTATGACCAGATTGTATTTGAAGATTTCATGGAATCGTTCGAGGTTCTTCATTCAACCATTTTTTAGAATCTATATGCTTTGTTAATATAAGAAAACAGCTATGCCACATCAGATTTGGTTGGATATTTGATCATCAACTTTATTATTTCATGTCAGACAGAAAAAATTTTCCACTGTTTCTGTTGAATTCAGAGTGCAGTCAAAATTGTTTAATCATTTTTCAGTGTATTTTATGTTGTATATTCAGGAATATTATAAAATATTTGTGTACTCTAAAATGGTTAGAAGTCGTGATAGTCTATTTTCAACGATGAATAAATAATACTACTATCTTTCAAAATACAGAAGCTATAGGCACTTGTAAACATTTTATGTTTTGATTTAAACTGGTTGTTTTTCCACAATTCTTTATTTGTCTGTTTGTACTTGAGACATATTCAAACATATCAAAATGGAAACTGATGTAATTTTTGTTTTAAATGTTCGAACTCAAGGAGAGTGTGTTAAGTCGATTGTAATGATATACCGGGTGTCAATAGCAGGTGGCTCATTCCTATATTTTTTATTTTATTTTAAAGAGTCAAAAATGAAATTTGGTATGTAGGTATATCACAGGAATATGCACAGTTTTAAGAATTCAATTGTTTACTCTCACTTCCGGTTTAGCCAGAAATGATTTTAACTTTGTTATTTTAAATAGGACACCCGGTATATTGTTGCTTATTTGAATAGAAAATGACATTCCGAGTACACTGACGCTGCATTTGCTACCTTTTGGCATCTAACTTCCAAATGTTTGTAATTTTTACTCCAGTGTGCCATGAGTATGATAAAATGGTAATTTTATTCATAAGTTTATCTATGGTGCTACCTCATTTTTGTATCCAAGGCAAAAAGGTGGCTCATTAGCACAGCTACTAAGGAATTCTTTTCGTAAATGGTTATTTTTAATAAAACACTTTTATTATTAAAGTAATAAATATAATTTTCCAAAATGTTCAATCTTCAGCAAAATAACGCACTATTAACTAAACTAACTAAACACTATAACCAGCTAAATTGTATAATCAAGCGTTAATGAAATATGTTTTAATTATTCTACCCAATAAATACTTTTTAATTTATTAAATGTTCGCAATGAGCACCTTGTGGTTGTTGGCAAAGTTCATTTCTCTCAATTGTTTTGCGTATTACATTGTGAAGATGCATTGCTGTAATACTATTAAGGGTCGCCCTTACTTTGTTTTCCACTTCGTTTCGTGTCGCTGACGGTCTATTATAAACCTCGTTTTTGATTGTTCCTTATAGATCGGGTGACCTAAATATTTCAATAAACAATTTAATTTCGAGAAAGATTTTGAATAATCACTTCTACGTATCTTGGAGGCCATCTAACTGGTCCATTAGTTCCAATCCAGTTTTCCGTGTAGGTGTTATTTAAGTAGGCTGATATCACCCGTGTATTGTGGGACGGAACGCCATCTTGTTGATAAAATATGGCATTTCTAATTACTAAAAGTATTTCATCCAAGAAATTTTCAATTTCACGAGAAAGAAATTGCATATATCTTTTTCCTGTCAAGTGCCCTTCAAAAATTATGGTTATTGGAATTTTTTCTTCCATTAAGTGCAGATTTTTTTGAGACCAATATCTTTTATTATTTCTGTTGAAAACCAGTTGCAATATTCAAGCCTTCGTTCACAATCAGCTTCGTAAAGATGCTGATGTAATTGATACTTGTAAGACCGGTATTTATGCTTACGTAAAATTCTCCATACAGAATTTTTTGATATTTGACACTAGGCAGCAATTTCTTTAGTTAAAGGATTTATATGAACCTCTATATACGCCAGGACATCGATTTCTTTGTCCTCGTTCACAATAAAATCATCATTTTCTGCCACTTCATTAGGCTCATGTCGCATTTTTCAAACCAATTTTGTGTAGTAATGCCGCATTGGATGACGGCGCTCGGGGAATCTCTCTGCATAAATTCTAGCACCTTGCATTCTCCAAAAATAAGAAGCATATCTACTTGTTCGCTTCTTTTATAATTCTGCATGGTTAATTATTCAACTAGGAAACGGGCAGAAGGTAACGTAATGATGTCTTAATTTCTTAATCATTTATTTGGAAATCTAACAGATTCATGACAACAACCGATCATTGTTTTTCCTAAGCCACCTTAGTTTTCTGTCAACGTAGCCGATGCCGGCTATGGCTGGTTGATGCTGTTATGGCAAAATGAATAATAAGGTAATTAATGTGGATTTTTCTGAAATAATTTTAACTAAAATATCGTTTGTGTGGTATCAAATTGTGAGTAAAAAAATACTCTTTTTATCTATGCCAGTGAGCCACCCTCGGTCCATTTGAAAAATTTTACTTACGACCATTCATGCCACACTGGACTGAAAATTAAAAATTACAAATATGTGTAAGTTAGATGTCAGTTACGTCTAAATATTTTGTAGTTGGCATACATCGCAATATAATATAAGGAATTGTAACACAGTTGCATCATAAGGATATGGATTTACATTAGACATAGGAAATCACTGCTTGATTCCATTTTTCTACAAATTATCCTTCCAGGCACGGTTACCGAACTGGCAACAGCGCCAAACTAACTACCATGGTGGACTTCCCCGTTACCCGACTCGACATGTCGCCTCACCTAGCGGCGAAACGTCGTACCAGCAGCGCTCCGCCTCTCAACCAACAAGCCCCGCCTACCGCCGATGACGGTTGGTCGTCGCCATGGAAACGCAGCGCCACCTGCAAGACGGCTTTGGGCGGCGACAATCGAGGAGGTGGGGACAATTTGTACGATCTGTACGCGGTTTGTTACCATCACGGCACCGATTTGGAGACGGGACATTATACGGCTGCGTGTAAGAATCCGTATGATAACCAGTGGTAAGTTCATGTTTTAAATATCCTGTGTCAGTAATTATGTGTATAATAACCTAGATGTTTTTTCGACCACAGGTATCACCTTCATACCTCCATTTCCCTCATATACAGGATGTCCTGAAAGTTGGGACTTTCGTTTTCAGAAACAGCTACGCTTGAAATAATAAGCTATTCTGTGTTGAAAGAACAGCGAAAAAGGAAAAAAATTAAAGAAAGAATTCGCCCCATTCTTTCAAAAGAAATTAAGTACAACTAACTTCTAAGTGTTCAGTTTTCTGCGATAGATTCACACACACAGGTATGAATGCAGCAGATTGCGTAGTTGGTCAACCGTGTTCACCTCAGTTTTATACACTAAACAGTTCATTTTCCCCAAAGAAAAAAGTAATCTCGGAACGATCTGCATGCACTCGCGAAGCCTCCGTAGCATTTCGAAGGCACTCGCCGTGAATTAAATAATGAACAATTCCAATATTACTGTAAGAGTGTGCCTTTTCTTTAGAACCAATGTGTAAAGGGTCAGATTGAGTACTGATCCGCATCGCACGTTTTCATGTTTGATCTGATCGAGTTGCAGGACCGGATTAGGTTTTGTTTAGATTTGATTGATTTTGGTAATATTAAGACTTTGGTGTTTGTTACTACAGGGTGGCCGATATGTAACTGACTGGTTTGTATCTTGAATAGTTGTGAAATAAAATAAAATACGCCCATTTTATTCATCTTATTCTTTTATTGAATCTTAGAAATTATGTATGAAAAATAACATCGGACAAATGACCGCCTCTAGAAGCCGCGCCAACCTGAGCCCTCTTGATTACATTTTCCATTTGGTTTGCTCTACAGTATTATTGTTTTGTTGTCATAAACCCTATTTTTCAAAACTCTCCTTTAAAAAAGTCAGGATCCGTTAATTCCGGTGACCTTGGGCCAAATCGAGAAATTAAACGTCCCGGAAATATTGTTCGTAAAAGATGCATTGTTTCCCTAGCTGTGTGACAAGTTGCTCCGTCTTGCTGGAACCTCATGTTTTGCAGGTTAAATTGTTGGATTTGAGGAGCCAGAAAGTTTTGCACCACATCACGGTAGCGCTCGCTAGTGACAGTAAGAGAATTACCTGAAACGTCTTCAAAGAAGTACGCTCCAATGACACCTACATACCAAACACCACACCAAACTGTGACTCGACGAGGATGTAGTGGTCGTTGATGGATGACACGAGGGTTCTCTAATGCCCAGATACGACAATTCTGCTTATTAAAAAATCCGTTCATATCGAAGTGGGCTTCATCGCTCATTATCAGTTGTCGGTAAAAATCGTTATTTTGGGTATTAAGCTGCAATATTTAACTGAATTTTGTATGACCGCAGTCTTTTTTAAAATAGTGCATAATGACATGCGACGAATACCCAGTTTCTGAGAACAATGTCTGGTAGACGTCTCAGGGCGCTCCACTACACTTTCACGAACTCTATATTTTGCAGAGTACGATCAGTAGCAAAATCTTATCGTAGCTCCCGAATCGTTGCAACAATCGACTCATTATTTAAGTAAAATGTTTTAACATTACCGATGCGTTGTGTAGTACTCCATGATGAATTGAACACATGAGCTTTAAACGACTACTACGGCGCTACCCTCTGAAATGCGTGTATCAAAAATGGCGCGCAAGTTAAATCAGTCAGTTATATATTGGCCACCCTGTAGAAAAAACTGCTTATTTTTCAAAGATCTATAAGCCGTGAAAAGGAAGGTCCCAACTTTGAGGTATATGTCGTGGCGATATGGTATTTCATGAAATAATCGAGCGTTTCACGAAATGACCATGACCATCCATGGTTGACCATATCGTTAAATCTTCAATGTTTAATGATTTGAGAATCCACGATTCATCATACCGAAAAATAAGGTATCCATAGAATACTTAATAAAAATCCAGAATATGTTACCAACAAGTACGACAAACATTTTTATTGAAACTAGCAACTTTAGGAAAATTCAAATGGTTAAAACCACCTTAAAATACTTAAAATTTTACAGTATCACAAAAAAAAATTTTGAACATATCGGATATCACAAAAAAACACCTCACATGGCTCTTCTTTGTTTGACGTATTACCTAAAAATGAAATAAAAATTAAGATGAGCTTTACATTTCACATATGTTGAATAAACAAAAACACACACGATTTTAACTTCAATAAATATGCCAAATTTGAGGTTCGACTGAATTTTCTGAGGGAACTGCGACTGCCCTCTGGCACCACCTTGCGGGCACCCACTGTCAATAGGGTAGGGGAAAAATGTCTACATCGCAACGTTGTCAAAAATTCCTAGCTAACTTTTTACGGACATAATCCTTTGTGAACTGATGTCAGCATTGCGTGGGAAGTGCAAACTTATACTTGACGCCTTTTCCAGGTACCTCTACGACGACGCCAAAGTAGTGAACCTAAGCCGTGACTCCACCGACCTGAACTCAGTCCTAGTGAACAACAGCGCGTACATCCTGTTCTACCAGAAGCGCAACGGGCAGTACGCCAGCTCAAGCTCGAACTCGAGCAGTGCTGCGAGTACCAGCTCGGTGGGGTCAATGCAGGAGCACTGGGTGTCCAGGATGCCGAGGTTCGTACCGCCGAAAAGCGTGGCAGGTGCGACGGTTGTGAAAAAGGAAGTGAAGGTGGTTGAGACGGAGAAGGTGGTACCTAAGGAGGATATTTTTGAGGAGAGGCAGCATCATGCGACGGAAGCGGCGCTCAAGGTGAAAGAGAGCGAGGAGGATGATAGGAATGCTAAGGAGGTACAGAGGTTTTCATTAGTTTTAAAGTGGTACGACCCTTAAGGGATTCCAATCGTTATTATTCGTTTTAGGATTTTGTTGGGGGCAACAGACAGTAGGGCAGTGAGACTTTTTTTACATGAGAATAAGTAACAATCACAACAGGCAATTTATTTTGAAATCCCATCTCAACGAAAGTTAGGAAAATTAAAAGTGATTTTGGGATAAATCTGTTATGCCAAACAAATGATGAATTTCAAGGACTACCTAGGAAATTCTGCTTTTTTAAAAATAACTAGTGTTTGGCAGTGTCAATGTATGAACCAATATATATTTTTAAATTGAAACTGTTCATCTGTTAAAAAATCCGATAGGGCGTCCATAAAAAAAATTAAAATGATGCTGGAGGACAAGAGATGAAACGCCATATTTAAATTCTGATTATACCTTCTTGTAGAGGAGAAAAAGTGGCAATGTTAATGTGCAATTTATTTTGGAATCCCACTACAAATAAAGTCAGAAAAAAAATTGAAACGGTTTTTGGAAAATTCTGTATTTCCGTCTCTCTCCGTATTTTGAATTTCGAAACTTTCTTAGCGGCATTTTGTTGATTATCTAAATACGCAACTTTGCCCCCATATAAGCGACTTCGGATCTCTTCCAGTCTCCGTGATCCCAATGGTGAGAGTTGAATTTGAAACACCCTGTACGAGCCCCTTCCCACTTCAGTTGGCTCAACTATTGAAATCTTAGTTTTTTTCTTATCAAACACAAATAATAAATATGTAGCAGGGTGTTATAGGTTTAAAATATTAACAATTAATATTTTGATAATATATAGTAGAAAACACCAACTTTATCACTCCCTAATCAAATTTGCAGCATAAAAATAACACATGTTGCTATTACAGCATATCAAACTATTTTCATTTCAATGCAAAATAAGTCTATAACGCATAGGTGGATGTGAAAAATAAAAGCCATGACAATTGTTTTTATTAATCACAGCTGTCAGAATACGTTTAAAATAGTTTTGGGTAGTTAAGGTTTTCAAAATGGGTAGAGGAAAGGTTATTAGTGAGAAAATTCGGTTACTGATAATTAAATTTTTTAATTCTGGGAAATCAAACTCATAAATTGCAACTTTGTTAGACTTATCGCGGTACAGTGTGAGAAATATTGTTAGAAGATATAACGTAACTGGCTCAGTTAATATTAAGGCACGATATGTGAAAAAAAGTAATATCACAAATGCCGACCGAAGAGCATTAAGAAGAATAATCGTGAAAAACAGGCGTGCCAAGTATTCATAATTAAGTGCTCTGTGGAGTGACGCTGTTGGAAGGACAATTTCGAGGTCCACAACTCATAGAGAGGCCCATAAACTGGGATTTAGCACTTGCAAGGTAAGTTTTCTTATAAAAAAAAGTGAAGTAAAAACCCTAAAGTTGCACAACTTGTTTATAGGCCAAAGAAAAGCCACTATTAACTCCACTGCAAAAGAAAAATCGGCTTATATGGGCTAAAGAACATAGATAATGGACACCTCAACAATGGTGTGCAATACAATGGAGTGATGAGGCTCGATTCGAAGTTTGTGTTGGTGACAGTCGCAGTAGAGTTATTCGCACAAAAAATGAAGCATTCCATGTTGACTGTCTGAAGAGAAAAGTGAAATTTCCAGCATCCATTATGGTCTGGGGAAGTATGTCATCAAAAGGAGTAGAAAAACTTCATTTTATTGATGGAAGTGTGGATACAAACAAATATTTGTCAAATTTAGAAGAATCGGTTTTACCAGTGATGGAAGAATGTTTGACATCCGGCCAAGATTTTGTGTTTCAGCAAGATGGTGCAGCGTGCCATACCTCAAAAAAGGCTATAAAATGGATGAAAGAAAATAATGTACCACTTTTGAAATGGGTTTCCAGCAGTCCAGATCTGTCACCTATTGAAACTTTGTGGCACGAGATGAAAAAGATTCTTCGACAACATCCTGCTCGTACAATCACGGAACTGAGACGAAAGCTTCAAGAAATATGGGATTGTTTTACACCAAATTTTTGCCAAAACTTGGTTAACACTATGCCTCAAAAAATTTCAGCCGTAATAAAAAATAAAGGTGATGTTACCCAATGGTAATCTTTCAATTGTTGCTTTGTTAACTTCGCGCATTTATTCGCACATTGTTTATTTGTTCAGATGTTCTATTAGTTATAGGTCTAGGTGATTTCAAATATGTATTTTTTACGACTAGAGTGTGTCTAAAATGTTTTTGAGAAAATAAATTGTTTTAGAAGTAAATAATTTCATGTTCATATATTTTGGTACAAATCTTGAAGTGGGCCAACTGAAGTGGGAAGGGGCTCGTATATGCAATATGGTAAGATAATTTTTTATTCTAGTTCTGCTGGTTTTGTGGTCACTTGTATTTGATTCTAAACCCTATTCGTTTCTTGACCGGTTTGAAGTAGTCATAACACAAATATTACCGAAACTTTCCCGTGAAAAAATTATTACGTAACTATGAAAATTTGGGGGAAAATGAAAAAAAAAATACGCAACCTGCCACGATTGTTAATAGTCAGCACTGTCAAATTGTCACGGTTCACTTTAGTTCTTTTCCCGACCGCCGTTATTTCCAATTGTTGACAAAAATGACGTAACTGAAGGCTTAACATTTATAATTTTTTTGCACAAAAAACACTATTGTTCCAGGTAGCACTGCGCAATTCCCAAAACACCCTCTACAGCAGCCAGACAAGCATCAGAAAATCGACAACAGACACCAAACCTCCATCGGACACCTCTCCGAAGAGCACCGAGTCCTCAAAACTCACCGAATCACCATCAACAGAAGTGAAAAAACCTCCGCTATACACTACCAGCATTTACATCAACTCGTCTGGAAACGTGGACATCGAGACGAGATGTACCCAGTCTCCAGTGCTTAGCAATGCGAGGTTGAGTGCAGAGGTAGAAGAGGATGTCGTGTTGAGGGATGGCAAAAAGAACATTGTGTACACTACAACAGCGTCTGTGCATAGACACTCTGATAATGTCAGCTCTGCGAGAGAACACCGGAACGCTAGGAGTCAGTTCAGCTTTGTAAGTATCTTATTTGATATATAGTAAAACTGCAGAGATCGATTACTCCAAAAGTTGACATTAGGCTACTTGTCATCGAATAAATGAGTATTGTTACAGTATTTAGCTTAGGGAAACGAAATAAATCGATATCAATTTTAAAAACGCAAGATAGACGTATAAGTTAAATTTAAAAAATGTATTTTTTGTATCTAATTTGGAACGGTGAAAACGCTATCGCTCGTGAACTAACCTTGTCTTAGCTATTTATAAAAAACTCATCACGCAAAAAGTTATCGTTTTCTAGTTTCGTTAAAAAAACAATCATGGACGTTGGATTCGTAAAATCAGGAGGCACATATTTGCCGAAAATTGAAACATTGATGTTTGGTAATTTGTTAGCCTTCAACCCAAATTTTTGCATTAAGACTTGTATAGTGCATTTGATATAAAGATAAACATAAGAAAGAATAAGTAATACTCTTATATAGTATTTGTTTTCAGGTGTCATTCAAACTTAAACTCATGCATTATAACTTCTAAATAATTTTATCTAATATTACATTAAAGAGATCTAAACAAGAATGAATTTGAGTTACAGATGTTGCATATATTCATTTTCGTGGGTACTCCAATCCACTGCTTTCCTGGTGTCTTTTTCGATGTTTTTTTAGAGTCTCTGACGATACAACAACGATATTTTTCATTTAAACTAGTAGAAGACATTCTTATATGTTTAAAAGTTTGGGAGGTTAAGCTACTTTTTACAAATTTTATGACGTCAGAGCGCATTATTCTATGGGCCAAACATGGCAGACAGCGTTTTTAACTGTCTAAGAAAAATATATTTTTAAATTAAAGTTTTAGGGTTTTTTAGGTCTCAAAAAATATATTACTATTTTGGTCTAATAGTACAGGCATTAACTATTTCAGAAATACTTAAAACAGTCTCAACTGATCTAAAATGAAAATTTTAATTTACAATATAAACGACAGGAGCAATTCGTCTAAAATATTTTCAAAATGGTGGCGCGTCCTTTTATACCGGAAGTAGATATAGACCAAAATGCTTATTTTAAATAGAATATGCTTTACAGGGTGTCCCATTTTGACAGAAAGAAGTTTCAAGCAAAAAATGTAGAGATGAAAATCTTACGTTTGAATATTACCTTCGCCACGACCTTGATCATGGCCTTCAAGGCCATTTGAGATTAAATCAAGACATCAGAAACAATGTACTCTGATAAAAATGTTCGACAGCACAGTTGTGAGGTTTGTGGGAATCACCCAAAGGTTTTGACCATAACCTGTAGGCCTTGAAGGTCAGGTCAAAATTTCAAGGGGAAATCTCTCATTTTTATGATGGAAAAAGGAAATACTACGTCCGAACCGTCCTTGACCTCAAAACCAATGTCTTTTCAAGCTTAAATGTTATGCGCTTCCTAAAGCGACCGGTAGGAGGCGTAACCCCAGCCTAAAAATTAAAAATGCCGTTTTTTCAGCTTGTTGCTATCGGCAGATTATGTATGAGGAGAGACTGAACCCAGTCAACTAAACCCACTTCTCCCAATAGTCGCTTACGAGGGGACTACATGGTTTCTTCGGCATTGACATATCCTCAATTTTAAGTCTAAAAGCCTACCACCAGCGAGGCTACAAATTTAAGCTAATGAAAGAGAAGTTTCTAACTACTACGATTTTGTTCTATGTTTAATTTCTTTTACTTCTCTCTCGTCTCTGTTCAGAATTTATAGAATGCTGAATTCATCTATGCATAATAATAATTATTGCAATATTCTTTTCTTTTATTCCATCAAAATTAAAAAAAAATCGTTCGCTTGATAACACCGCATCCCGTTCATTTCAAGGCAAGTTTTCCACCTTCATGAGCGATTTTGGTCACCGTCACCGTCGCTAGGCAATGTGGTGATGACCTTCGCTCTTCAGCCGGCTTCTATCTCTTTCTAACATGTGTTGATACACACTTCTCGCGCTTCTCTCTCGTTCACATTGAACTCAAGCCATCACACAAATAAGGTGTTCTCTGTATATGCTGGAGATCAACAAAAATCCCCTATTGGCCTCCTGTACTATTGATATAATAAGCTTTTTATTGGACTACATAACAAATTGACACTAGTGGTACCAGATATCAAATAATCATTTACAATCATTTTTGTGCTTCGAAAGAGACTACAAGAGAGCCCAAACATTGGTGAAATATGGACTAGAATTTATTTCAATTATTATTGGCCAGAGTAAACGATGCTTTCAATTGTCCTGTGAATGCCAATGGTATGAACGTACGTCTACAGGTACCTATTGCCTATCAACAATAATTTATGTTGTATGTAATAACCTAATAGACTAATTAAACTTGAAGACCAGATGCTACACTAATTAATTCATTAATTACATAATACGATTTTACAGTTGAACGTGTTATTGAATAATCTGGCGGCTTTACAGTTAGCGTATGTTATCAAAGTTATTTTCAATTGTTCAATAGCCATGTTACTGCGTTGGTAAACATCTTAACTGTTGTCTGATTGGTGTCAGTTTCTTAACTTACTGCAACTCTGGCTGACATGACCCCTTCTATAGGATGTGATTCAAATGACCACTGTCATAGGTATTTTGGGTCACTGAAACTGCAAGTCTTTGTCAGAGTCATTAAAAATTGGACATCAACTTGTTGCCAACTTTATCCTTAATCCTGCACGATTATGAAATTTCCTATTGAAACAAAAATATTACATCGAGATCGTTTCATTTTATTTACAGATGTCACCCCAACCTGTAAAAAAGAGCCAGATGACGCCACAGTCTGTGTAATTTTTTCAAGAATTTCTTTAGATGTAAGCAAAAGAAACGAATAATCATTGGAAAATATGTATTTATGTAAATATCTAATTAAGCACTAAGTGAATATTCGAATCATATGTAAGATTAGTTTATTATAATATATATTGAACACCCATTGCCTTTTCGGTATATCAAGGAATCTAAGAATATTTTCACACGAAACTTTATTTGCATAATTCGAATATTATTTAGTAGATAATTTTCTACTGCTGAAGTATAGTACTGTAAATAATGCTTTCATTAATTTTTAATGAAACTGATCATATTGAAATATTTCTATCCAAGTCATAATTCTCTCGGATTCCTTGATATATGTACATTAAATTTTGTTTTTAATTTATATCATTAGGCTTTATATCTATATCTTCAGCAGTTTTTGTTTTTGAATATTTTATTAAATATTGTTTATTCGTTTTGTTGTTGTTTATTTTATCTTGTGTGTTTAGATATTTACTTTAAAATATTATTTATAAACTCTCTGTAGTTTTGTAGTGTACACACATTGATTTAAGTAGACCTTTGATTGAAATGCAGATAAAGTTTTTATGAGCCTCTGATTATTTTATTTCTTTAATTTTCCGAGTAACATCCCCAAGACTTCTCACAAATCGAGAAATAACGTGCATATATGTCATTAAATAAAATACAAAAATTTGTGCATGCTTCAGAAAAAGTGACCTGTTTTATTATAAATAATTATTTCTCGATATTGTTGAAACATTATTCATTCGCCCCATTTCATTAGAAACCTAGATAATATGAGCTGTCGTCCAAACTAATAACAAATCCTATGATTTCTCGCCATAATTGTAACAATATTCAAAAACAAATTTGATTCTCCAACTTTAACAGCCTGTGTCAAAATATAAAAGAAATTCAATTATCGTTAAAAATCATAACTTTACCACCATAAACAGTCGCTTCTTGGACACTACTTCGATTTTTGCCCCGATTCATCAAATTATTCTTACATTTTTTACTTGGGCGACAGTGTTGTTAGGAGGATTTTTATATACCTAACTGATTAGTTTGTATGGCATTTTCTCAATACTCGCTAAAATTTTGAATCTATAAAGTAACATGATGGCGAAATGAGTAAATCTACCGTGATATTTATACATTATGAAATTATTATCAATTTGTATATGAGATTTGTAGTTTGCTATACTAAAAATAAAATAAAAAATGAACATGGTGTAATTTTTTTCTATTCCATCATTGCCTGAATTATGAGACGTGCAACCACCCTCCCTCTAAAGGTGAATATCTTCCTAAATATGAATCCTGCGACCTCCAAACTGCACCAAAAGATGACTCCAAAAATATGGCGTCCACAAAAGAGCTGATGACGTTTAAACGTTCTTATTTAGTCAGATAAATGCGGTGTTTGCCAGAGAGATAATCCTTTTTCTATAAATTCATTGACCACTTCACTTGAGCTGAACGCATTTTTTGTTCAACTTTAGTTTTGCTTCGACATTAATTTATCCATCGTGGGGATATTTGTCATCCGTTTGCAGGCTACTAAATTTATTTTTCTTTCAATAAAGCTATAAATGGCACTTTTCGCGAAAAATTAATCTCAAAACCTGGGTCCTAGGTTCTCTGCTTTTCATTATTTTTATTAACGACATTGTTAATATTATCGATTGTTACGATAAAGATTTTTTACGGTGTCGAAAGCAGCGCGGTTGTGCTGTCATCTGACTTCGACAAGGTATAAGAACGGTGTGCCATAAACAATCAACATGAGAAAATGTAGTGTTATGTCAAACACAATTCAATTATCAAGTCTGTAATAGTCCTCTGCAGAGAATACATGAGTATAAGGACCTAGGTGTGATCTTCAATTCTTTAAGCTTCAATCCTCATATAGAGCAAATTCTTCTGGCTGTTACTAGATCTTTCGGATTTATGATACGGAATTCCAAGGAGGCAATGATTATGCTTTTCAATTCCGTCGAAGGCACATCGCAACCCCTCAGACCAAGCTATCGCAACAACATGGTTTTGTTAGTTTAGACAATAGAAGAAAAGCATATTCTCTTCTATTTCTGTACAAAACAGTCGATGGTATTTAGGATTGCTCAGCTTTCAGATAACTGTTAAGGTTCAATACCCCAAAATTTCTATCTCGAAACATGCGTACCTTTTATCTCCATACGCCTATGTTTAATACTTACTTCTTCCGTGTTTTTGACGTAACCGCCAAAAGAAAAGAACAATTCCATTCAGCTCAGTATAAACGTAGGGTTTTCTACACATTTTATGGCAGTTTGGCAACACAGCCTCGGTACATGCAGGGCCATCTATGAGCGAATCACCAAACCAAAGAGATAGATCGCTGTTTTTATTTGAAAGCCAGCATTAGTGCTAGAGCCGGTCTCAAAGTTTTGGTTACATCACGTCACTATGTGATAAGGAATACTTAAAGCTAGACAAATCTTACGTATTTTGATCCTATACAGCAAACTTGCCGAGTTTGTATAGGATATAGCAAGTTTTTATCTTATATCAGTGTGCGATGATATAACAGGTCAATGGGGTCAACCGATTATACAGAAATGTCTTCTCTTTTCATTCCTAAATCTGCGCTTGTGCACTTCCAAACATCCAGCCACGTCACCACCCAAAAAGCCCACCTAGAACGTTGGCAGTTGACTATAATGCAATTTCCCACTTCTAATGCTGCATCATCATTGTTCATAGGCCGAAATGCGGAAACAGGACTTATGCACCCCGAGAGTACCATGTTGTTTGTCATCACTCAATTAACCTGCGCCACAATTCACAAAGGAACTGGAAATACAATAAATTGTTGTTTAAACTTTATATATTGTGTACATTGAAAACCAAATACCACTGACGTCGTAATAATAATAACGAGAAAGAAGCGCGATAAGCCTGCGTTATGCATGTTAGAAATAATGCGCCGATCGCTTCTGTGACTCGAACCCGGCTTGCAAGGCAAGGAGGTGCTTCTATCTCTTTCTAACTTACATATCACACAGTTATCGCGTTTCTCTCTTGTACACATTACGACGTCAGGCAAATTTGAATCTCACCGTATGGTGATTCCTTTACCATCGTTTTGTATCTGTTATCTTCTTTGCGCAGATTTCTTCCCATCCTACTCTATATCCTGTTTCCCATACTTGTTCGCTGAGTGTTGTAATGAAACAGATAAGTATAAGATATACAGGGAGACTTCGAAGTTGAGTCATTTATTTTAACAGTGAGTAGATCTGATCAAAAGAAATGTTTTTTTCCTTTACCATTTTCCTGGTAAAATTAAAGTAACAAAGTTATAGCCCTTTGGAAGTTTGAGTACCGCCCTGTCTCAATAATAATATTATGTGGTCGTGTTTGGCGACAACGGATATAATCCGCCGTATCGGTTCATCGCATCGGAAACAAAAAAGCGAAAGAATTTGGAACGATGTTTTTACAAGTATTTCATTCATTTGTATACAGTCAGTGTCAGTGAATAGTGGTATCTGTTGCGTGGCTCAAACGAAATAAAAAATGGCACATGTTTATGCGGATCGGTTTCCCAATCGAGTGCAACCAACCCCTCGTGCCTTTGTTAATGTAGTACAACGGGCTCGTGAATCAGGTGATTTAAGACCTCACAGGGGACCTCACGATCAAATACAGGTCCGCACTGAAATACTTGTCGGGAGGATACTTTATAAAACAAGGTAAAATTTTTTTTTAATTTTTTTTTTATTTTTACACACATATTTTGGTTTATCTTCCTTCTACAATCATTATCTGAAAATTAATGACTCAACTTCAAAGTCACCCTGTATATTGTCATTTTTGATTTGTAAATTGAAAAATGCCGGCGAGGTGGCCGAAACGTTAGTAACATGCAGTCTCACATATGTGTTTTTGCTTATCGGCTAGAAAAGAATGAGAATGTATTAGCATTTTACCACAGGATGAGTTTCAGATGTCACAAAATATTGATACTTCCTCGTGATACAATTTCTGGATAAGAGATTATCTAATATGCCTGGGCTATGACTTGATTACGTGTGTTACCACCAGAGCCGTCCCTGTGCTCCGGAGTATTATGTGTTGCCTATGCTCAGAGGGTCCTTGCGCCATGTCAGCTAACTTCATTCTGCTCCTTTCTCTTGTTTTCCTTTTCTCAATCTAGTTCGCTTTCCGACGGGATATTGAGTGGGTGTATGTTTTTTTGTTGTGCGTTATTTGGATTATCTACTATTTTCCAGGTAAATACCAGTTTTTGAATCGAATAACGTAATTTTCTGTGTTATAACGCATTGCACGAACACTTTGAAGTATTGTTTCATTGATAAAAATCGTCAAAATGGTATCTACCAGCGAAAACTACTATGATTCATCTAAAATCATAGCCGAGAATGGACATAAAAAAGGGGTGTGCTACTTTTCAAGAATTTAACTTCATTATTCAAGCACTAAACCTCTCGTACAAGCTCTCTGATATCTCTTAACAATGAACATGGTCGTGAAACATTTTTCGATATACATTTGTACGTATCCTTTTCATCTTATATAGTTCCGAAGCTTTTGTTGTGTGGAAGAAATCAAGAAATGTGTATCACATGTGTGTCTTTTCCTCATGTTGTCCGCCTCAAGCCCCCAAGTCCCCATCTGCTCAAATTATCGATCCCAAATGCTAAATTGCATTACATGTTTAGTAGTTTTTGTAGTATACGTGTTTTATAACCGGCGACAATACAGGAAGTCCAATCAAAACCCAACCAATCGATATTTGTTACATTCGTATAACATTGGAATTTAAACTCGAAACAGGGATGTATTCATTAAAAGCAGTCATTTGTAGCCCCTATTTAAATCATCTAAGGTTATTGGTGGTCTGTAGACAGGAGGAAACAATTACAATTAATGAACTTTGAATTTGCCCCTTCCATATACAGTGTGTTTGTTGAATAAACGTCAAAGATTGTGAGAAGTACTTGTCTTTTGATGAGTTTTTAAAGCACGTACAGCAAACAAGTGAAAAACACATGCATCATGATAAGGGTATAAAGTTCATAAATCATGAATATATAACAAAAAAATCAGTTGAATGCATTTTCTCTACCCAGTTATTTCCCACTTTACAAAATTGCATTTTATTGATTTAAATTATCTGAGGAACTATTTGTATCAATTGCATATGTAGAAGGAACTCTGAGTAGATGAGTGTTTTTCACGTATTTTAAAATGTGTTTATTTTGAGTACTAGGTATCATATACATATGATACCGTGAAGGAGCTTCTGAAACGTGAAAAACATCTCGTATAGGGCCGGAAATACATATAATTAAATGCCATACAAGCTAAAGTGATAAAAATAAGCTCAATAGATCATATGTATTTGTAATCAGAAAAAAGGTACACCAGTGAGAATGGGTGAGTTTTTTTTTTTTTTGTTGGTATTTCACCGGCAGATGGTACTTAGCAAGCGATGTCGGGTTGAAGACACTCAAGTTCCTATTTAGAAGTGTTTCAATCGTCCTTGCTCAACATTTCGTCCACAAAAAAATACGGGGGTGAACAAAAATCGCCAACTTTTGTTTTATTCTTTACCTTTATAACCCAACAGTTACAAAACATGACTGGCACATCTCTCTTGAGTCTTGACTTTCTAAAGTTGTTAGTCTCCCAGGCACAGATCGTGTTGATAAAATGGTCAGTCGTGAACTCGAACACCGTTACATTTTTATACCAATCGATTTATCGGTATCTGCATATCACGTTTCATGATTAAAATGTTGTGACTTGAGATAGCTTACCCAGAAACCTTGACACTATGATCCTTATCTACCATTCATTGTGTGTCAATGCACCTTGATGTCTCGAATGTAATAATGGATTTTATTATCAGGGCGCCCACAGAGGAGGGCCAGGAGGTTGTGGCTCTTATGAAAAGCTAGCTGGCATACTTTAATGGAGGTCGACCCGGTATTAGTTTTATTTCTCACGCGCAATGGTGAGGAAGTATTGTAATCGCGAAAAATTTCGAAAATTAGATATCTTGTCTTTTTGGATTCATTGCCGACTGTCTTTCGGTCTGTCCGCTAATCCTTAGCCTGTCCATAACTTGGAAAGTACCTGTCGGATTTTGATGAAATTTTCAGACAAGGTTACTACTATACTATATTACGAGGGATGTC